GTTCTTTAGAAATGCCACACAGTACAAACACTGAGCATTTGAGTGTTGTGTGAAAAGAAGTGCCGATGTTTTATAGAGGCTTTTGGTTGAAATTCAGATAGTTGGTGTGCTTCTTGAAACATTATTTTGGCTGAAATCTGTCTTGCTACAGAATGTCCTTCGCCCATAAAGTCCATCCCTGAGAAACCAATATTTGTCATTCTAAAGTACCACAAGTAGGTACTGACTGCTTTCCATTCATTTTTCACACATAGCCAACCTCATACTAAAGACAAGCTGTGTTTTATCCATCACAGAAGATGCACTAAGAAAGAAAACAGTCTTGATTTGCATGAGGGAATTTTCATTCCATTCACTGGAGACATACTCAGTCCCTGGAGTCCCCTAAGTTCTTCTCAGCTGCCTACTAGAAGCAAAGGGTTACTGCTGGTGGGTGAGGGTAGGGGAACCCTACAGACCCACAAATAATTGAAAATGCTTTCTCTGGAGCCTAGGAGATTTGGACCATTTGCTTTGTGGAAAGAGAACCTGGGCAAAAAGTATGAAGCTACAAATATGTCAAGTAACTTCAGAGTGTAAGCTGTATATTTTTAAAAAGATGGATAGCCTAGGTTGTTGTTGTTGCTATTATTATTATTATTATTATTATTATTATTTTATGTTGGGAAAGCTCATTACGATTTATTTTAGGTCCTAAATTTTGTAGTCCCGGAGCTTAACGACAGATGGTGGTGTAACTCCACCAATTTCACAACACTCTGCATTTTGACTTTGTATCAGATTATCCTTGGTCAGACTTCCAAGGAGCAAGAATTTTCTCTTTCCCCTCTCTGTGACTAAGAGGAGAGTGGAACCACAAACCATTTAAAAAGAAAGTCTTTATTTGCTCAAGTTCACACAACTATACCATGTGAAAAACAGGCCTTTTTGATACTTACTTGTCTTTTTGCCTGTGTAGAAAAAAAAAAACAAATTCCCCCTGTATTTAAAGATTGCTGTTAGAGCCTTTTGAATGAATAACACAACTTTAAAGATGATATCTCTGGAGGGGAAAACGTGATTTTTAATTGTTCAGTTCTCCATTTTCCAGCTTTCAGTTTTATGTAGTCAAAGTTACACCGCTAAAACGGCAGGGAAGAAGAAAGGGGGGGAAAGTAGCTCATGTTTAACGCAAAGTTGGGGAAGGAAAAAAAAGCCTAATTGTGTGAATGGCTATATTTTTATAACAAGTAACTTAAGATCAAGCGACTCACTCAGATGAAAGATCAATGTTAAACGACCACTTCTAAAGCGTTATCCGCACACGCTGACTGTTTTCTTCATGCTGGCTTCAGTTAGTCACATTCGGAGTGGTTTATTTTGTGCAAGATACTCTGATAGACACCACTTCAAACGAATTTATTTTTCTCTAGCACCCTAATAGAGCAGTCTTTCAGATTTTGTTGATTTGCGGTTTCGTCGTAAAATAAACTTCAAATCAAATAAATTTTCGCGAGAGAGGTTCGAGGTCCACTTGGTGAAAACGCTCATTCACCCAGTAACCCTGATCAACTTTTCCTTGAAGCATGTTGAATGACTTTCACAGACCCAAGTGTGACTAGAAGCTGGTTGGCGACTTAAGGGTCATAATTTGACTTACCCTCTCTCCCAGGCACTCAGCTTTTGGTTGAAAGACTGCAGCGATTCTGCAAGCCGACGGGTGACTGGTGCAAAAGAAAACTATTCGTTCGAGGTTTGCCCTTTTGGCATTTCCCTGGGCTGCGGAAACCCGGTTTTCCTATTATGATACTGCAACTTTTTTTTGGAGTCTGCTCGCACTGCGCGCTAAACCCCGACAGGCTCCAGCAGCCAGCCTAGGTGAACAAAGACAGCAGTGTTCAGAGCCATGTCAGGGGCGGGGGTGGTGGGCGAGTTAAAGGAATTGCAAATAAATATATTTTATGACCACCCATCAACAAACTACGTGCCACCGTGGCAGCCCCTGGTAGCCAGGCTGGGACTGCCGAGGGGCCGAGGGAGGGGGAGCTCCAAGAGAGAAGACTGGAGCAGAGGAGTTAGGGGCGAGCCCGGGGCCTGAACTTTCACCTCTCTAACCCGGGCCCAGCCCATTGGCTGTGGTCCAGGGTCCCAGGAGAGCAGCAATTCCAAGCAAGACCGCTTTCTCCTCTCCTTGGGTGTCCTTCCATCGGGAATGGCTGGTGGCAGAGGGCACTGCCGCAGGCAAACTAAATATCGTGCTGAGAAGAAAAGCAGGGGCACAGGGGGACTGTGGTCCTAGGTCTCTAAGATTGCTTAGTGATGCCTGGGAAGAGTAAGCAGTTAGTTCTAGCTGGGCTGCATAGACACCCTTTGGCAGCTCTATCAGCTTGCTGTTGGGACTCCCAGGAAAGCCAAGTCAGAGGATGCACATTTCGCCAAAATGTGTCTTTGTGTATGAAAGAGGGAAAGACTAACTCCCTTGTCCCTCCCACTCCCCACTCGTAATCCCGAGAAAGTAACCACGTCTTTAGGAGTTTGAATGTAAGTTCTAAGGTCCCAGACTCCTCTGTAGTACTTTTCCTCTACACTTTCTCTGGACACCTTGCAAGAATGGCAAGTAACTGTAGGCGGGGAAGGAGGGACAGCTGTAGGGGTGGGGGGCTCTGTAGAGCTTCTGAGGGTTCAGTTACTTTTATTCACCAGGCCAAGAGAAAGGTTCGGCCTCAGGGTTTCAAGGATTTCCACGTTGATTATCTACTCTTCTCTTTCTCTAATTTCATGTTAATTCACAGTCCACTTTATTTAAATTTGCCGGAGAAGCACACAGATGCATAACCCCCCACCTTTTAGAAGGCAGGGTAGGGCCTTTCTATCGTTCCCTAATGACCACGAGGGCTGTTTACTCTCTACATTTCCACCCGTAAGATTCGGACTCTGTCCTGAGTCTGCATTTCTCAAGGGACTGTCCTGAGCACGCAGGATAGCCTGTCTTTAAAAAGGCTCCCAGAAAGCTCTGCAGTCCAAAGGGGAGGCTCACCAGCGTTCCTTCTGCTCCCAATTCAGGCCGACTTGCCAAGACCAGCCCTGTGGCTTATTGACAAAAGTTGGTTTCACTAGCAAACCTGGTAGTGTGTTTACACATGTGGGTGCCAGGGCCGCTGCTTCCTCTCCTGGAAAGCTAGCTGCAGGTTCAGATGGGAAGAATTTGTGTGTGTGTGTGTGTGTGTGTGTGTGTGTGTGTGTGTGCTGTATGAGAGAGAGAGAGAGAGAGAGAGAGAGAGAGAGAGAGAGAGAGAGAGAGAGAGAGAGAGAGAGAGAGAGAGAGGGCGCACTCCTGTGCTCTGTCCCTTAAATAAAGGGCATGTTGGTCTTTGAAGAAAGGGAAGACTCAAAGACACAAGTTGGTGTTGATCATCGCCACCCCATTTCACCATCCTCTCTCATAAAGGTGCTGTGTGATAGTTAGCCGCTCTTTCTCCCAGGAGAATAGCTAGGAGGAAGCCAGGTCTCCCACTCCTTGTCGCCCGGTGCAAAGCCTCCCAATCCCCCTCCCCGCCCCCTGCCCCGTCCCTGCCCCTGCCGGGGCTTCTTGGCTATAGCTCTTCCTTGGAAAGTTTCTGTGCCTCTCGGGAAGCTATGGGACTGATTCGGCAGGCTCCCGCGCTTGTGCGCATTGAAGGCGGGCCTCTAAGGGTTGCCAGGGGTGGGGTGGGGGGCAGCGGTCAGGGAGAGGCTGGCGAGAGTCCTAGGGAAGGGACTGCCCTCCCAGAGCAAAGGTGGAGGGGAGCTTCGTAGGAACCCCCACCCAGATGCAAGTCACGCGCCCCCATCTTGGCCTGCCTTGATCCCCTCCAGCCTTTTCTCTGTGGTCTCTCCCTCGGTACTGGTCAGGGCAGCTAGCTGGGTCGTGCCAAGGGCTTAGGAGGAGGGTCCTGGTGACCGAAACACGCCTGAGCACCCCCCCACAGCCGGGCCACTGCTTTGAAGTGCGCTGCGAGCCGGCTCGGGCAGCAATTCCTTCCTTCCTTTCATTCTTGTTATTTTGTTTTCTCTGGTCATTGATCGAGTCAGTCCCCAAAGCCTCAGACTTTAAAAATCACAGCTCCGTGGTGCCATTTTTTTTCAAGCCCCGCCCCGGTGACCTGGGTTGCGCCACTGTGAGGAAACCCCAGTATTCCTGGCCCCCAAGTGTGACAGGAGCCACGACAATGAAGCGGGGAAGGTTCGGCCTCTCCATCCAGGCCGCAGAGGCGCACGCTGGAGAGAGAAAGGCCAATCAGCGTGGCTGTGCTCGCGCGGGCTCCCTCCGTGACACTCAGTGCTCTAACTACCTGCCACCAAGTGCTTCGGATCCCTTCGAGGCTTTCTGCACTTCACGTGGAATCCCCTGTTTCATTTGCCAGCAGCTCCGTCTGCTGAGAGGACGTACTTTAGGGACTGCCAAGAAGCAGCAGACACAACTCGGCTGTGCCAATACAGCATACGGTTTTGTTCTCGCCTCCCTCCCCACCCCCATCCCCGCCTCGCCGTCTGGGGCGCCGGGAGGAGGCGGAGCAGGAGGTGGGGAGAAGGGTGGGGGTGGGGGGGGGATCGGCGCAGAACAAACAAGTTCTCCGGCGAGTTGTTTACATAGCAGGTGGACCTGACGTCATCCAGGAGGCTCCACCGCAAAGCCCAGCAAGAAGTATTCTGGCCCGCGCTCCCCCCTCACCCTACCCACCCCTGGGAGACGTTGGTGGGGAGGGGCAGGAGGAGACTGGTGGAGGAGTTCAAACCACTTTTAAAAAAATCAACAACAACAACAACAACAACAACAAAACAGCCCCAACTCCGCAAAGTTAGACAAAACAAGTGGCCCAACAGTACTTGAGAGACTTCCAAGGTGTCCCTTCCCCCAGCCCGCCCCTCGGAGGAGAGGCGGCTCCGCGCGCACTGTGTGTACAGTTTGCATTGCCAACAACACGCGCGCGCGCCCGGGTGCGCGCGCCCGCCGGTGCACGCACGCACACACACACACACACATACACACGCGAGCACACACACACTCGCACACACACACACACACACACACACATACACACGCACACATAGATCCGGGTTGGGGGAGCTGCAGCGCGAGACAGCGCGAGCCTCCGAGAAAGCGCGAGACACGCCGGCGCGTGCAGCTCCCCGGACACCGCTTCGTCCGGGCCGGAGCCCGGCGCCACCCGCGTTTGGCCCGCTAGCGCCCGCGTCGGGCATTTATGTGGTGGCCGTGTCCTCCAGCCGCAGCTTCCTCGGGTCCCCCCATCCCTGGCGTCCCCCCCAACTCGCGGCCGCGGGTGCCGGGACTCGAGCGTGGGTGTGTTATTCGGGGGCTCCTGCCTGGGCGCGCAGCGTGTGCCACCTCACGGGACTCTGCCCACGGGGTCTCTGGTCGCGGTAAGTTTCTTCGCCCTCACTCTGACGCTCAGCACTCCACCCTGTCCCGACCACAGCCACGCGCGACCGACCGGACTGCGACTTTTTCCTCCACGCTGCTCGCGTAGCGGCAGCAAAGTTTCTCCCCAGCGCCCGCCGTTCGGGGCTGCGGGACCACGGTGACATGTGTCAGGTTTCGACATGGGGTCGGGGTCGTCTGGGACCCAGGCTGGCCACTTGTTGTTTCTTCGCATTTCGCTTTGTGCTGGGGGAAAAGGAGTGTGCGGAGACACACGATTTCTCTGTGGCCTCCCGGGTGATTTATTTATTTAGTTGGATAGTTTTGAATATGCAGAATGTTGTCTCTTCCAGAGAGACTAAGGCTGGAGGAAAAGATGTGTCGAAACACCAGATGTGTTTGTTTACTCTTTTATATATATATAAAAAATGTTTGTTGTCTTTTTCTCTTCCTTCCCACTCTCCCTAGGGAGGAGAAACAGCAGTAAAACATGCGGTGGTTAGAAGCGCACACTTTATTGATCAGACTGCTGACCTTTATTTACTCTAGCGGGCAAGTGCATGCTACTTGGGTCTTAGGCGCTTCTGCGTTCATCTCAGAAGTACTTATCCAGGAACCTGAGAGGCGTCTAGGGGACACTCCTTTTCTCTCTAGTTAAGAAACTCCTGGCTCCTAGTGATGCCTGAGATAACCAGACATTTCTCCAGCTACTCCTGATCCTGCTCTCCTACTTGTCCGCGAGCCAGCCAGGCCGGCTTCCCTAGGGATCTGTTCTGGTTTTACTTTTATTCCACTTTGGAAAGTGCTCCTTGCTCCTTGTGTGGGTGTCATCGAGGAGGGCTCGTGGGAGGGGCACAGTCACCTTTATGAGAAAGGAAGGGCTTCTCCCCAGCCTTTTTTCTTTTAACCCTTGACTCCTGGGTGACTGGGACCAGTACAGAGCTAAGGAAAAGCCACTCCAGCCCCGCCTGTCCCCTCCAGCTCATGGAGACACAAGTGGGTCTGTGGGAGCTGACCGGATCCACCAGGTGGTCACAGGCACAGTGAGCAAGTCTCTGCTTACCCCCAGGGGCCAGATGAACTCCGAAGTCCCATCTTAAAGTGGCCCCAGGCCTCTGTAGTTCTTGGAGGAAATATTGCCCTCCTGCCCCCAGACCCTAAGAATCATAGGTAAGTTTCTCAGGGCCAGAAGAGAAAAAGGGTCATGCTTTTATTATTAGAAGAAACTTCAAGACGAAGATGTGAGCAGGTTTGTGTCCTTTGAAAGTGAAATCAATGCGCATTTTTGCAGAAGGTTTAGTACAGAGGCCCCGAACTTGCCAGGATTTGGGAAGCTCCTAACAATCAGGAATCCCCCAAGGAACTGGAGCCATCTGTGTATTTGTTTAATCAGCTCTTTAAGCAACAGATTTAAACCACTTAGTGGACAGCTGCTATCTGCGAGACGTGTCCCTCCCCGACCGTTCCTCTCACCACATGTTGAAACCCACTCAGTTCCTTGATCCTGAGGCTCATTCCTAGAGTGCTACTTGCTTCCAGGTGGGCAGGCACTGGCAAAGTGAGGTGCCTGAAGTGGCCTGGGGGAGTGCTCAGAAGGGCCAGGAGGGAGGAATGAAGGATGCTAAAGACTCATGGGAGTGTGTGAGGTTTGAGTCTTTGCAGTCAAAGATTCAGTGCCACTTGGCTAGTTATCTCCCAACAAATCCACCAGCAACTTGGAAGGAGAGTTACTTAGTAGCAGGTAAGCCCGGAGGGAGAAAGTGATGCTTTGGTGTCAAGTAGCTGAACTGGACATTTTCCAACTGGAAGTATTTGGAGAGATTTGCTGTAGAAAACAGGTTTGCCTGGAAGGCACATCTTTACCTGGCCTCCTAACTCCCAGCAGTTTGCTTAGGCAGCAGTGAAGTGAAGAGTGTATAGAAATGGCAGGCCTGCGTTTGAGACAGACACTCAAGTGAAGATGGGCTTTCAGATAGCTTAAGTCTGCAGTGTGCCATACCTCGGGAAATGTTTTTATATTGTGAAGAGGCCTGTTTATCTTTTCTGTCACTATGAGTTATGAGTGCGGATATTCTCAGTGTACTGGAATTTTTAAATGTGGTGTTTGTTTAATGCTGTTAAACACAATTTACAATTTTGATTTATTTGTATCTCCATTAATAGAGTGCACATAGTTGTCTGCACTGTGATCATTAGGGCCCTCGTATTTCATGTCTGCGATAGAGTTTTGTTCCCCTTCCTCATACCTTCTTCCTTGTATCCCTCCTTCCATCTCTCTGTTACTTGGATGGCTGGTGTTCAGTACCTGCTCAACTCAACACTTCCTTTAAGAGAGCTATGGGAGCATAACTGTTAGCAAAAATTAAATGAAAGAAAACTTAATTATAATAGAATTGCTAGTTTTTAAGGCTAGGAGAAACCTGTTGATATCTCCCTCTGGGTAGCTGTTTGAGGCACACAGTCTAAAAGAATCTTTATGCTTAAAAGATACCTTTTAAGCATAAAAAGTAGAATTTCTTAAGGAATTATTTGTGACATTTGGCCTAAACATGAATACAGTGAATATAATTTAGACATAGATGTCTAAAACGTGGTCACTACAATTCATCACATATTACAATAAGCCATGTAGCTAAAAGGAACTTGCATGTGATCATGACGACTGCACAATTTATCAGTGTTCCAGCATTGCCTTCTGTTTTCAGATATTGTTGTCATAGAAGTTATAATTTTTTTGTGTGTGAAAGGAAACCTTAAGCTACTTGAGAAAGGGGTGTACTGAAGAATCCAAGATTGGTGCTTCCTTTCTCTACACTGGCAACAGTGCAGCAGTCTTATTTTGAGGAAACTTTGTGATTTTCTAGGAACTTTAAGTAAGAAGGAACGCCTCAGAATTAGTAGGTGAAGAGAGTACAGCAGAGAACAGGAACATATATGTGCACATAACCAATAATGAGAGGTTAGATTCCCTTTAAGTTTCAGGCACACAAAACAACTCTTTGTGCATGTTTCTCAGATTCTGTTTTGTAGGCAGCATATTTAATATGTGAAGACAAGCAGCTGGTTTGGTTCACATCCTCACAGAATATGGAATGGTCAGAGCCAAACAATTTACCAGATATTTTGATGGCAAGAGAAGATGGGAAGAATGCAGAAACTAATTCCATAAAAGAAATAATATTTGATATATTTTAAGAGTTAAAGTTAGCTCTGGTCAATGCTTTTGTTTCTTTAAATGTTGATAATCTCACGTTGAGCTGGCTATTAGTTCTAATACAAACAGACAATTGAATCAAGGAAATAGACATGTAATTTTTACCTTTCTATATGAAACCTAAGAAAGGTCCCTGGCTACAAAGAAGAAAATGTGATCTAGGACTTGGATCATGAATAAGTTTTCTTGGCAGTTTCAGCAATTAGAACAAAAATAAAAAGTAAAAATCATAGTTGAATCGAGACATGATAACAATCCTTTCCAATTTCTTATCACTAATCTTTGTCATACTCAAACTATCTTATTGTCTTTGTGGTAATTTATTGTACTTGTCTGTGTGGGAACCAACATCTTTTAAGTAGTGCCCCCAAATGAGACTCAATGATTGTAATAGTAGTATAGATGTTTGAAAGCAATCTTATGTGGTCCTTCATTTAAAGGGTTCCAAAACCCTCAACAAATCCAAGTCATAGTGATTGTATTCTAAGGGCTTCTGTAAACATTCACATGGTTAAACTTTAAAGAAATGTATTCTCTTGTTCATGGTTTGCAGACAGTTCAAAGCTGATTCAGATTCTACACACCAATGTTAGTTGTTCTTTTTAGAAGAAATAAACATTTTCTAAGTGCAGCTCTTTATCTCTTAGATAGTCTTAGACTAAAGTTATGTTACTTCTGCAGTCTTTACCAGGGAATATAATTTACTTTTGAATTATTTTGCTATCTATAGATTTCTCCATGAGGTTTATCAGGTTCTCTTTTATTGCTTTCTTATAGTTTTGTTCTAAACTATCAGCTGCTTTGTTTGTTAGAACTTCAAAGTGGGCCTTTAACTTTTTTGTTTGTTTTATCTTCCATCTTAATTAAGCATTGCTGGGAGGGTTGTCTAAAAACCTGCTTAGTTTTCTTTTACAGCCTAACATTGGTTAAATGAAAATTCATTATTGCTGATGTCTATGATACTCATATTGTCTGAGTTTCTTTCCGTGTATCTAATTTTGCTTGATAAAATAAATGGTTACTGCCACTTGCATATGTCCTTGTCTTATTACCTCTGATTTATTTGTTTATGTATTTCTTTCTGGTGCCCTTGTCTTCGTCCATCTTTTACCCAATATTTTGCTGACTAAACAAACACAAAAATAACTAGTTATGGTGAAATATAAAGCAATATTTTGACTCAGTGTCCAGTGATAAGAAGAGAGACACTAGAGAAGATTTACATCTGCTGTTGCAATATCACTAATATTAAACAAACAGTCTGATTCTGGTGATATAATTTCTTGGTTGTGTATGTTAAAGCTATTTTGCTAAGTGGTATCTTGGGTATTTTGATGTGTCCTCCAATGTAGTATTATTATATATTGGCTTTAATAATTTTAGTAAAATGTCTTGCTTTCCAGTTGATTGATCTGGAATTTCTGTTCATGCAGTGATTTTGGCCTAGCAGCCAACGTCTACATTATCTGTTCTGTTAAACAGAGAATGGTATATTCTTTGCTCTGTTTTTGAATCCATTCTATATACGAGTGATTTACAGCTAATGATTGAAATTTTCATTTCTTTTTTTCAGCTGTGAACTTTGTTTGCTCTCTTTTACTTGGCATGCATGTGTTCACTTTTCCAACTTACCACTTGCAACTAGAAGTCTAAAATAATTTCAGTTCATATAAATCTATCTACAGTTTTATTTTGAAAGCATTTTCCCCATAAGCCCACCTCTGCTGGCCCTGGTTAACCTTTTGATTTCCATAATTTGTGAAGTATGAATTCTTGAATTCAACTTTC